CGGAAACATAATTCACAGGATCACCGTCCCGACCCATTCCCTGACAACATCTGGAAACGACCAATATGCAAGTTTTACATTTATAATTTTAAAACTCGGTGGCTTACTGCGTTGTATTTAGTCCCAAATATTGTGATTTTTTTTCATTGCGCTTGTTGGGAGAAAAAAAATTGTATGTGTATTTTCTACATATTGATAGACCCTAAGTCGATTTTAAAAAGCCTATAAACCCCCTAAATGTGAAGCCCCATTGAAAAAACTTTTGAGGGATTTTGAGAGAGGCCCAGCCATACCCACTTTTTTGTCGGGGAAATTATAGCTTCCCCTCACTCCGTCGGGGAATTCAGACCCCCGGATGGGCAAAACGTGGCGCCACCACTGGTAGTATTGTGCACGCGAGAATCAGGAAACAGTCTGACAACATACGCTTATTATAACGCAGTTAACTACACACATTTAAGCGCATACACGAATGCTCATTTCCCCTCGTCGCTTGGATTCGATCCAGTACACAATTTGGCCAAATCTATGCAGAGATCGTAGGACCGGACGGTCATGATTGATCTAGCGTCGCGTCGTCACGCAAATCGAAAGCTAATACTTTCACAACATACGTCCCTTTGGGACTACATACAATGCAGTAAGCCACCTAGTTTAAATATTATAAACCTAATTATCAGTAAAACTTGTACGTGACCTTGACATTGTATAATGCACGCGTGCAACAGAAACAATCTCACAAAATACACTGATTTGGGAATACAATTATAATTTCATTGGTAGGCCTATTTTTAAAACTTGGATAATACCTTGACCTTGTGCACGTACGCAACAAGAGTCTATCTTACAACATACGTTGACTCTGACGCTGACTACATGCAGCACATTGTAAAGTCACCGATTTTTTACAATTAGGCCTATCACAAGTAATTGCATAACTTGTATATGACCTTTACCTCGTAGTACCATAAACGAACGCAATAAAAAAATGTCACAATATTATGTTTATTTGGGACTAAATACAACGCAGTACGCCACCGAGTTTTAAAATTATAGGCCTAATCACAAGTATTTGTAAAACTATGACCTTGACCTCGTAGTACCATACACGAGCGCAATAAAAGAAATATCACAATATACGTTTATTTGGAAATAAATATAACGCAATAAGCCACCAAGTTTTAAAATTATAATCACAAGTATTTGTAAAACGTGTATATGACATTGACCTCGTAGTACCATACATGAGCGAAATAAAATAAAAATAAATTAAAAAAATCTCACAATATACGTTTATTTGGGATTAAATAAAACGCAGTAAGCCAAAGAGTTTTAAAATTATATTCACAAGTACAGTAGTTGTAAAACTTGTATGACCCTGCCATTCAGAAGTATGAGGATAGCGTGTAAAGAAAATATTGGCTTTGAGGTAGGTATAATTAAAGTAAATATATTTTAAAGACAATTATTTTAAGTTCTACTTTTTATGATACGTCACAGACTAATTAGATCTACATGAAATTGCCTAAAATCACCTTGCTTAGTGCTGATTCATCTGCATTCATTGCTTTCTTGAAAATTCAACGGAGGGCCTTAAATTAGAGAAAAATGTTTGCCCGCCTTTAGAATTCAAATCATGCTGGAACTGAAGTGAGGTAGGTGTGGATGATGTCCCCGCCTCATCTTTCAAAGCAGATTAGCACCCTTGACCACAATGATCCCGTGTGTATTTATGGCCCATGTGCACGTTAAAAAATGCAGTACATTCTTCTTTAAAAAAGTAGGGTATATTGTCTACCGGTTTACAGCCCAATCACCACCAGAAGGACGCTATAC